GAGGGAGAGAAGCGAAGAAAGACAGCGAGATTTTGCAAACATTGGGGCTCACGTAATCATGGACGATGCAAACGGGTGATGTAAGTGTGAAGACATCCTCGTGAGTGGCAGGTGGTGGTCCAGAGTTCTGCCTCGCTTCAGGGATCGGTCTGTAAATCAGAGGGATTGTTAAAAGATAAAAGGAGTAACAAACATTAGCACATTAAATGTTTTACTTGCGTGTGCTTTAATTTCAACAAGGAGTCTTTTGAAGTTGGGTTTAAGAGTAATGAGAACACTAAGTGTTTTAAAAGTCTTCTTAATTGTTCTCAAATGATATCAAAGAGTAGTGAAAAGCCTAGTATGATGATTTAAACAAGTGGTTCCCAACTTTAATGACGTTATGTAGCTAGAGCAATCACAACCTCACCCCTCCTGGGATCTCATAATGCAGTCACATATGAGTGTAATTACTTCTGACACATACAATATGATGGACGAAGAACAATATACCAAATACATTAATTAAAGCATCACTACAGCGCTGATGGTCTCATGGGTTTGAGTCTCATTCATGCCACCGATGCTGCACATATTTGCGCTAAGAGCCTCTTTATGATGCTCTGGATAAAACTGCGCAGCAAGTGGTTGTTGTGAGACATTAATCACTGTCATCCGCAAGCATGATCGTTGATGGGTTTGGCACCTCTGCCTGCATAGAGTGCACAAGTGTATCAACACACAGTTGAGAGCCTCTTCTGTTCTTTTATGGCTAATTGCTGCCTCTTCAACAACCGTCCTCATGCACTTCAATCCATTAATTCCTGGACAACAGCACTTCTGAGAAGTCGTAAAGTGAGTTAGGCAGAGTCAAAGCACTCATCGCCCCTTTCCATTAAAGCTCCGCACATCAATACCTGTCCAGACCTGGAATAATATCCATCGGCCGGCCACAGAGCTGCTGATTTGCCGACAATATGAAACTCGCTGGGCAGTAACAGGGCTACATTAATAAATGAAACATAAACGTGCATTAAGTTCGGCCATTAACTTTTAACAGATGTATTAGGCTGGAGGAGACGCCTAACTTTGTTTTCAAGGTTGTTTAAGGTTGCGTGTTCAGGTGATGCTTTTTGAATTGAATTATGCATGAGGTAGCGAGCACTTGCTATTGTTCAGCCTCACTCTATTGCTGTGATAAAATGAGGTCTTGTCTGACTGCTGTCTATGAACATGCCATACTTGCTCATGAAAATGTAAAGCACGCAGTCATATAACGTTAGCTGTTTTCAGTCATGTGCTTCAGTTGTAAGACGTATTTTTATTTTTCCCAAAGACTGGGTAAATTACCTTGTAGTGGGAGTATTGCTATTGATTCGAGTGGCATGGTAAGTGCCGAGTGAATGGATGGGTGCAGCCCTTGTTGGTTAGTATGAAGCCATTGATTTTATTCTGCTTATATGCTTTGCAGTGCTCTCAATCAAATCAGAAACAGAGAAGATGCTGTTTGTAAATCACAAAAGTGTGTGTGTGTGGGTGAGTGAAAGAGAGAGAGAGCATGTTATCGCCTGGATGAATGCATGTTTTTGCTTTGTACACGGATTTCACACGTTTTCTCTCTTTATCTTCTATCTTCTACCCCTGAGGGACTGGGAAAGTTTGAAATGCTTTCAGGGTTTATGTTTCTCTCATCTTAACCCGACAACTGCCATCCAATCATAACACTGACCCAGGTGTTAATCCCCCAATTACAAGCCTGCTGTAACCAAACTCATCTCTTCACACTGCTGCAGGCCTGTACTACCATGCAGGAGTTCAGGTGGATCATGAATCCAGACTTTTGTGCTTTTTACCTCTTTATGTACATTGTGGACTGACTTTCCAGTTTTCATTTTGATATCATGTTGAATAAAAAATTCAAAATGAAAACTGGAAAGTCAGTCCCCATCATAATGCTTCAGGCCTGTCTTAAAACACCCAAGATTGCTTTAAATACATTTAAAAAAGAGTTATTATTATTAATAATGATATTGTATGCTTTGCACTCTGCCAACTGCTGGAGGTCTGTATGAGTCATTTACATGATCCACCCCACTATCTATAGTCGCAAAGCTCAAAGTAATTAGAAGATGATTTGGATTGTAATTTGACGTGCTATCTGACAAAAGATCAAGTGAACTGGGCCAAAAACGACCACACAATTAGAAAAGTCAATAAACAGAGCTATGGAAAGCATGAGCTCAAAGACCCAGTGAAACAGGATAAGTACAACCATGTGTGATACGGTAACTTCTTTCTATTTCACTCGGGCTCATTATATATGTAAAGTCTATGTGTTTGACTGGAAAATGATGAATTACCTTTGGTCCTGTCACCCGGCCGTCTTTTTTAATGACCTTGTATTTTCATAGATCATATTTTAGACAGGCACACAGGATACGATAGTTGGCAGCCAGAGGTAAGACTATACGTTTCCGCTAGCTATTCTGCTATATCCTGAGTTTATAAAATAAATAGTCAGGTCCAGTCTTGTTTCACTGTGGAGAAATCAGAGTAGTAAACCTTTCTCAGTCTGGCCAGGTTGGGAGGATGGAGAGGAAGGTTGTGTGTGAGAGAGAGAGGGTTAGAAGAAATGCAGCATAGTGAACACACAGTGAGAGGTTTGGACTGTCTTCTCTTAGCATTGACTTTTCTTTCACCTGAAGTCCTATTTTCTCTGCTTTCCTAATCAGTTAGCTTGTTTTCCAGCCATTTCCACCGTGTATATTTTGGGTTCCTCTGCAATATATCCCTTTTTCACCTTTGCACTCCATTCCAATACTTATTGCTGATCTAAAACCTGTTTTATAATATGAGAAAACAGGTTTTTTTAACTTAAACAATATTACATTTGTACAGTATAATACAAAAAGAAAAGTAAAAACTGTAAGATTGGAGGGATTCAGCTACACTGGATCTTTCCCAGTAACGGTAACAAATGCCAGTGTGCTGGGAGCCGCATAAATCCGACCTTCCCAGTGACTTTATCAGTAGACCCCTCCTAGGCTGGCTCCACTGTGTGTATGGTTACAGAGCGTCAGTCATCTGTAGTGAGTAAGGAGAAGTGTGACCCCTGTCTCCGGATGTGATTCTTTACTCTTCCTTTCCTGTCCTCTGTCATAGTCTGACTACATGGGTTGGGATCTGTTTGCCTTTAGGATATTTGAAAGACCATTTTACATCAAGGGCATATCATTATATAGTCAGTATACCAGCTATACCACTTCTAAGATTGGCAACAGTAGGCAGTAAGTTTATTGTTTGAATGCCATTACAATAAAGCCTTTGGATCTTGAATTGAATCTTGAATCTAGTTCAATCATTCCTGTAATATTGGACATATGGAACAGTGAAACCTCTCTGAGCGAGTGAGTTTTTTTAGGCTTTTCCAGAAAATACATTGTTTTTCTTTTCTTGTGTGACACAGTTTTTCTCTATAAACTTTTAAAGCTTAAGAAGGCTATTATTTTCTCCTCCTGAGCTATCAGTAAGTATTTATACCTTTTTGAATGTCCTGTGATTGTTTCATTCACTCTGCTTATTTGTCATGAAGCTAAGGATTCCTCTCTCTTTGGATTTGAGTGACATCTCCATCTCTCACTTGCTTGTCTGCTAAAGCCGAGCTAGCGTGACCGAAATACTTAGTCACAGTGCACCTCGGCAGCAGAGAGCTGCTGAGGCCTGAGCCCACAGCTAACAGGCTTATGCTATCTCTCATCACAGTTTCTCTTTCATTTCACTTAGACTCAACACTATGGATCCAAACAGTCGGCACAGAGGGAAACTAACATATACGATATTTCCTTTAGTGTACATACATTACAAACGCTGTGGTTTATATTCAAATAAACATAGTTTCATGTCAAATATAGTGTATATTCCTCATGCAAAAACACACACAAGCACCCTCCAGGGTCTTGACCAAGTGTGTGTCTTTGATTCAAAGCATATGCATCCAGCTTATTGTTTCAGCTTTATGTTCCCAATGTCACAGATACACTTTTGTTTCTCTTGAGGGAGGAAGGAGGGTGGCTCCTTCCTCCCTCTTTTCCTTATATATATTTCTTTACTATCTCCTCTTCACAATCTGGCACAGAAGCGGTTGATAACAGTCTGTTGACTCTGTGTTACCGCTGAGGGAAGTTGTGTATCTTATCCTGCACACTATGGGCCCGGCCCTTGCTGCCACTGCAAGACACTGATAATGTCCTGTTGTTGCTCTCATACATTTGATAAGGTCAGTTATCTGGAGAGCAACTGAATAAGGTGAAAACAGACTTGTCATCAAACTCAAATGTTTGGTTTTTGATCAAGTTATGTCTTTGAAATGACTTATAACTAGAATGAGTATGATTCTGCTTGTTATTCGGTATCTGTTGTGCTTACATTTGTAGTTGTTGGTTCATTTTTGTCACAGGAAATTAAAGACAGGATAAGAAGTTGTTTTGTGTTTCCGCCATCTTAAGTTAGGTAATTGAATTGTGGTGTTCCAGGGAAACAAGATAAGGCATTGTACATGTATTTGCTGGTGTGAGGTGTGTGTGCGTCTCTGTGTGTGTAATGAGCTCTGCAGTCGTTAGCAGGGGAGGGGGGGGGGGGTTGCTGTGTTGCCGTTCTGTACAGCGGGCATGCAGGATGGCACAGATGGTGGTGGAATGAGAGGCGAATCGCTGCAGATTTACGCTCCTCTCTCGGGTGTCTGTCGTCAGTCTGTCTGTGAGTCTCTCCTTCTCCCCCTCTCATTCCTCCTGTGACAGTCTGAGCATATGCATCAGTGTCATTGTGGCCGGCCATATGATGTGGTGAGCCATCTATTTCCAGAGCTAGTCTATTGAACCTCACAGGCGCTTTGCTATCAAATCCTGCTGTATGTGCAAACTGTGCAATAGCTCCCTTGTTTGCACACAGATGTGGAAACGGTTGTTTAGTTTCAGTTATTTTTTAGTATGTCACTATAATCTTACACTTCTGTCTCTCTCCAGATCGCACTGGGAAGCGCTCCACCATGCCCGACTCACCTGCGGACGTCAAGACACAGTCCAGGTTGACCCCCCCTACCATGCCCCCCCCACCCAGCACGCAGGGAGCGCCTCGTAACAGCTCCTACACCCCCACCACATGTGAGTAAAGCCAGAGTTGTATTTATGTGTCAGGGTTAAATCAAGTTATGTCATATTTAACAAATGGCATAATGAAGTTCAATGGGTCCACTTCCATTCATGTACTCTCAGCAGAGTTCTCAGTGCCATAGCATTCCTGTTGTGTACATTTTTATTTGGGAAAGTAGCGCATTAGATCAGTATTTGTTTCAGTAGATACAGTACACTGTGTTGTGGTATCACAGTCAATATCTGTAAGAAAAGAAGTTGGATTGGTGATGTGTCAACATGTGAAACGTAGTGCTGAGCAGAATGCAGAAGCAGGTGTCACTGCAGAAGTATAATGGCGCGTTTCCACTACACGGCCTCGCTCGGCCCCGCTCGGTATGGCTGGGCCTCGTTAGGACTGGCTCACTTTATGGCGCATTTCCATTACAGTTTAGGAACTGGGGTAGTATCTATAGTAACGCAGTGTAGGCGGAGCCGTGACGTGATCTTCAGAGAACCCCAGAAAAACAACACAGCCGTTAGCTGTTAGCACTCAGAGCTCACAGCTCCTCATATATGTTCAGAAACTAGACAAAAGTTAAACAAGTACAAACCACAGACTGCCTGTGTCATGGCGAATACAGTCGCTGCTTTATTTATGTCTGTATAGGCCGTTGTTGTGAGTGTGGACGGTCGGAGCATATACTGCGTTAGCTTAGCCAATCTCCATTTAGAACACACGCATTTTAAAAGGTTTTTCGCCTGCCGTCTGTCTGCAGACTTGTCAAAGCATTAATTCATGGTTTTTACTAACCGGTATCAGTATGTTGTTACTTCGGCATCATTTTGAAACGTGTATTACAATTAAATCACGGTCAAATATGTCCATCTTGTTGTAGTTGTAGCCCCCTTGCCAGCGATGCTCTCTCTAGTTTAGCATACTCAGCCCGACTCAGCCTCGTTGTCTCTGGCCCTAGACCCGCGATTTTATGAGGCCAGAAAAACTGTGAATTAGGACCCGCCGACCGGTACTAGGCCAAGTGGAAACGCAACCAAAGACGGGCCGCTGACGTCACAGCCCTCTTAAACCGTGCTCCGCGCTGTAGTGGAAACGCGCCATAAGTCCACCTTTGTACGTAAAAAACACATTACTTCGAAACAGAGCAGACATACATGCACTCACAATTGAGAATATTCACTTTATGGTTGCGTTAAACCCAATAATCTAATTCCATCAGCATCAGAAGACCTTTTTAACATCTATGCATTGATCCTTTTTTCAAATTGCAGTCATTCCTAACAACTCCCCCAACAAGTTCCTTAACACCCACGCTTACAAACTGTTGGAGCTTTGCCACGACGCGCACATAGCCTGTGACGAGCAAATTACACCCTAGTATTCACTTAGAAGTGCACACTTAACCACTTGCATGAAGAGCACTAGAATCAAATAATCAAAGGCCTTGTGGTTCAAAATGCTCAGAGCACTCAAGTCTGCGTTAATATTTCTGTTTTTCTTTTTTGGAGCAGAGGCATTATTTAGTTCTTTCTTTGGTATTTACTTTCTCCCTCTCTCTTTGTATCAGTCTGTTTCTCTCTCTGTTGCTCACACTCCACAATTAACATCGGGGCTTCCGTGCGATGAGGGAGGAAAGGCCTGGCTCTCTCATTACGCTTGCCGAAGGTTTTAACAAAGCAGTATGCTTTGATTTCCACCCGATGTAATTGTTACCAGATGCAGTTTGAGTATCTCGTCTCTCTTTACAGTGGCGGCTTTGGACGGCAGCCAGAGGGGGAGTGAGTGGATCGCTAGTCAAACCCTAATCTCATTAGAGAGAAAGCTTTATGCCGCCTTGTATCTCTTTGTACACCAACTCCCCCAACACACACACACACGCACACACACACACGCGCACACACACACACACACACACACACACACACACACACACACACACACACACACACACACACACACACACACACACACACACACACACACACACACACACACACACACACACGCCATGCTCTGGCACGACGGGGGTCACACTGTCTCTGCTTGTTTAGACTGCAGGGAGGGAGGGAAAGGGGAAAGGAGGTGCAGAGAGGCAGCATGTCTCCGAATGCAGCCTTGTTGGGTTTTTTGAGAGGACGCCACAAAAGATCAAACAAGCCGCGATGATTGGAAGCAAATGTCGAGGATTGTGATTTTTTTTCAGGGGAATGTAAATCATTCCAAATCACTGGTTTGGTCTCAGTGAAGCTGACGCATGCTGTTTCCTCTGTTGGTGTTTGGTAAACACAGTCAGGGATTTTAGGTTGTTTTGGGTCATTTGGATAGAGCAAGAGAGAAAGCAGTTTGCACAATGTAAATGAAAAAAAAATCAAACGCTTTCTTTGTTTGTGAAACAATTTCTCTTAACACTTTATGTCCTTGTCTCACGCAGTAACCAACGGCAGCAGCCACTCTCCTACGGCGCTAAACGGCGCTCCGTCTCCTCCCAACGGCTACAGCAATGGTCCCAGCTCCTCCTCCTCTTCCTCGCTGGCCAATCAGCAGCTGCCCCCGGCCTGCGGCGCCCGGCAGCTCAGCAAGCTCAAGCGCTTCCTCACAACTCTACAGCAGTTTGGCAACGACATCTCACCTGAAATCGGCGAGCGGGTCCGCACATTAGTGCTGGGACTAGTGGTGAGTGGCTTCTGTGCATGTGAGCGTTAGTTCAAAGGGCTCACAGGGAAAGGTGACACCGGTCCTTAAGTTAGCAGGAATCCGTCCATCCATTAGTGCCATTTGAGAATAATTTTTAAGATTTGTTCAGCTGCACCAGATGGTAGGAGTTTACTGAACCAAACAGATGAAACAGTGTCAGGTTAGTTGTCAGTCATAGAGATGATTACTTGAAATACTTTGAAATACTTATCGCTGATTACGAAAGCCTCAGGGGTATTTCTTTAAGACTTTGTTATGTTCTTATGTCAGAAATGTAACCCATCTGGTCCTTCAGGCATAAGTGTAAAATAAACAGAGATTTGTGAACCCCTGCCTCCAGCATCAACGTCTATAAGTATTTTACAGTGAAAAACTAGGCCTGACCAATGTATGGCATTTGGCTGTCTGCTGGGACGAAGAATAACATCAAACTAAAAGACTACAGTTTGATTAGACTTATTTAAATTCAACAACAGGGAATACCAGATCCACGGGAAATAGAGATTAGACTTTATTTGAACATCAAATTAATGTTATCACTATTGTCTGACAACATGTTGCAATATTAAAACGTTATTTATGAAGCTAATTAAAAAACTGATTGTAGCTTTAAGGTTTGCACAAATTAAAGCATTACTGATAATCACACTTCTAACCCAAATTAATATCCAGGAGATGTGTGTGTGGAGATTCAAAAATGTAGAGTTGAATATAAACAACATGAATGCAAAGAAAAACAATCATTCAAATAGAGGAAATCCAAAATAAAACCTGCAAACATCAAACTGCATTCATCCAACAGAGATTTGATCTGACAGATGTTTTTCTGCGGCTTAGCTGACATGGTTTATATGAAGATAATATAAAATACATGTGCAAATCTAAAGATTAACTACATGTCTACAGTATGCGATCTGAAAAGATTTGACTTTACGAGCAGGGGAATACAGAAATAGGGATTGAATGTTGTGCAGAGAGGAGGAAGAGGCGGAGGAAACGGAGGGTGGAATTATTTTAATTAGCCTCACAGAGTATAGCCTTCTTTTTGGCTTCTCTATGTTTATTATTCTCACCGTCTGCATACGCACATACCTCTCCTGTGTCGTTTTGCCTCCCCCCTCTCATATCTCTCTCTCCTCTTCTTCCTCTCTCGCTCACTGTCTCTCTGTCCCTTGCCTTATTGAAAAGAGTGACACCGTTAATTAGCTGCTTGTGTGCTGGGGAGAGGGAGAGAGGGAGACTCGGGAGGTTTCTCTAGCTGTCAAGAACAGCCCCTACGCAATCTGGGCGAACAGATGTAAGGCTGAATGTAACAAAATTCAGGTCTGGGAAATAACACCGACAGAGTGGGGAGGAAAAATATATCTGCTGCTTTTTTTTTTGTTGATGTTCTCCGTCTCGCTTGATTCTTTTTTGCCTTGTTTGTATTTGTGCTTGTTATGGAGCGCACTCTCTCCCATGTGCACACTCTCCTCTTTCTTCTCTCCCTTTTACTCTTCCTCTATGCTCTAGAAATAGTTGTGAAATGTTGAGGATTAAAAATAGTACCACCGCTGTCGTGTCAGCCGTTAATGTGAGTTACATCTAACCGAAGAAGGGGGGGGGGGGACTTTGTTTGGGTTTGACAAACTGAAACGTATAACCCACTTTGGACCCCCCACATGCACCACACACACACCCTCACACTAAATATACTACTTCCTCCTGTTCTGCACTTTCTATGATTTAAAATGTTTGTTCTTATTTGCTCTGCAGCCCATGTGTCAGGCTCATATACGCTATTGGTAACATATTGATTCAACATAAAGCATGTGTTTAAACACAAATGAATGTCCGAGTGAAGGAAAGGCAATGAAGAAGGAACATATATCACCTCCCCTCTGATGATAGGAGGCTGTATTTCAATCAAAAAGGCTACCGTTTTCTAATATACTGTGCAAAGCTGCAATAACTGTATTCATTACATATTTAGAATGCACTCCAAAAAATGAACACATCTTATTTTCTTTTATTCAGAATAGCAGACAAGCAGGCCTGAGCTAAAGTAAGAAGTCAACAAACAATTAACATAAATAATTAGATAAATATGGAAACTATTTTAAAGAAGCCAACTCGCATAATGCGGGGGGGAAAAAACATATTCCTGCATATATAATCAAAGTTAAGCATATTTCTTCCTTTTCTGATTGCATTTGTTTTGTTAATTGAAGAAAATGTCTGCTTTGTTTTCTGTGGGCTCTTTTCACTGCGGCCTGCCCATATGCTTCCTATTAGAGAGCCCGAAACATCCAGGCCAGGATATAGCTTAGCTTCCAATAAGTAATATTATCACTTAATGCCTTCCACATGGATTCATGTGTTTTCTCTCTCTCTCTCTCTCTCCTCCAGAATTCCACCCTAACCATCGAAGAATTTCACTCCAAGCTCCAAGAAGCCACCAACTTCCCTCTGCGACCGTTCGTCATACCCTTCCTGAAGGTAGATACTGAAATATGCAATTACGAAAGAAGTTTGCCTGCCTGCCTCCCTGATCCACCAAATCTGGAAACCATTTAACCAGCACAGATCCAGATGTGCATACTTGTGTTCATGATATTTAGCCCTATTTTCTCCCTTATATATCTTGTTATCTGTCTCTTGTACCTATTCTCGTTGTTGTTATTTTAAGAAATGTGCCCTGGAACAGAGCACAATGACTGTGGTTGTGGCCAGAAGACGACATCCCCTTTCATGCGCGTTTCCTCAACCTCTTTCAGGCTTGTTTTGTCCTTGACTTGTTTTTATCCAGCTGAGCCACATTTTTAAAAGAGTATTTCCCCTATTTTTCAGCCATTAGCATGGTATTTCACCGAAAAAGGAAGCAGTCTTTTAAGCTGCCATGCCTGCCCTTGCTTCAGCCCATTTGTCAATGGTCGTCTTTTTTCAGTCAAAACAGCACAGCTCCCATCTCTTTATTCAGTCTGGTAGATAAGAATGAAGAGGGATGGTGGGTTTTCTGTTTGTATCTACAGGTAAAAGAGAGGCCATTTATGTGCATGTGGGCTGTTTGTGTCAGATAGGGGCACATTCTGAATGTCTGCAGGATTTGAGGAGCTAAAGCAGTCTGGAGGTGAGACTGGCGGCGGGGGCGCTATGATTTGTTTTGGTAGTCAAAGATGACAAATGGGACTGGGGCTTTATATTGAGGGATGTACTGTGCAGCAGCAGTTCAGATAGTGGTATGGGGTCTCGATGAAGCTGAGATCAATATCAGTGTGGAGCTGAGAGATGGAGAGCTTGGATCAGCATGACATTTAACACAGAGCTCATTTGTTTCTATTACTGGCTCTGTTTTGTTTTCTCCATATTTTCTTATTTTCTCTGTTTACCTCCTTCTTTGTATCTATTTTCCATCCCTTATCTATCCCTCCCTCCCTGCTCTATCTGTGTGTGTCTGACTGACAGGCGTGAGGTTAATGTTATTTGTAAAAACAAGACAGTCGGTTCTCCCTGAGCACAGAATCATCACACTCTACGCTGCCTGTATACGTGTGCATGGCTGCATTTGCAGATGTGTGCATGTGTGAGCTGACATTCACAAGCCTATTATCCACTGAGGTCCTGCGTGAATGTGATATTTGGTCCCAATAGAATAGCTGTTACTGGCTGTTAAAGACACAAACAGGGTCTCCCTGTCTCCCCCCTCCCATCACTCCCTTATTCTCATGTTTTCTTCATCTTTTCTGCTTTCTGCTTATTTGCTCTCCCCCCATATCTTTCTGTCTTTATCCTCCTTCTTCTCTGTTTGCTGTTCCCCATCTATCCATCCTCCAGTCCCTCCTTCCCTTCTTCCCTTCTCCTCTCCTCGCCAGATGGTTAGTGTATCACTGGGATGGCTGCGGAATCAAAGATGCAACTCTTTTTTTCCCTCCGTCGCTCCTTCTCTGCCTCTCTCTCTCCCCAGTCTAATTTTAGTGTCTTCCCACTGCGGAGCCTTTAATGTCAGCTACCATATGGCAGCAGCGAGCGGTTGGAGGTGTAGGGGAGTTTTTATAGGTGCGTCGAAGCACAGCTGCAACAATGCGCGTCAAGGCTCAGAGTTTTTCATTACGCTAATGTTAGACTGAGCCGACCCCTCCAACGCCCCCACCCCCCACCCAAACCCACTCAACTCCTTTCCCCTTCTCTTAATACTAAACCGCAAATTGGTTGGGACTCTTTACTGGAAGGAGGCAATCATAAACCACACAGCGCCAGTGACGTGATGTGTTGGCGGGAGGCCTGCCACACGAGACAACGGGCTTCCAGAGGAACAATGTTTCTCTGTTTTCAACTTAAAGACAAGCTTTTTTTAAATCTGTCAAGTGATTTGTTTTTCTAGTGTCATGACGAAATGAAAGGAGTGCTGTGAGACTGAGGAGTAAACACATTAACCAAAGAGAGAGAGACAGAGACAGTGGTGATAGGAAATAATTGAAATAGGACAATATATATACATGCAAAAAACTAAGTCGCCCAGATTTTACTCCAACTGCAAATTACAGAGAAAAGGAAAGTTGATGAAGTGCAGCATATCCTGAACGTGGCATATTCTGAATAGTTTTTTGGCTCCGTTTGACAAAATGACAGCTCCAGTATTTTCACAATAAATCACCCTGTGCTGATTTTAGCTGTGGCTGCTGAACACTACTTGAAATGTTCCCTTTATGCAAGATGTTGGTTACCGTTACTGCACGGAAGCAAATGGCCGTACTTTGTCATGGGAAAAATGATCCAGTCTCTTCAGCGGTCTGCATTTCTTGAATCAGTCCTTTTGTTAATGCATCCCCCATCTCTTACAATTGGGATGACCTCTAATTAATGAAAGATGAGTTCACTGGGGTCAAAGCAATCTATTTTATGCTCTTCTTTTCAGAGGGTAATTACGATCATAAACTATTAACGGACCATTAACTCGAGCAGGTAAAACGAAGGCCGGCGCTCTGCATTTCTTTCACAGCAGCCAATTACTGGAGAGGGATTTCATATGATTATAAAACATAAATCCCACTAAACAAATCATGTTTATGTTTAGCAAGTAGTATTTCAGTATGCAGTTGGCAAAGACAACACGGAACAGTCCATGAAACGGAAGCAAATGTGTGAGCTAATGCGGGTTGGGGGCGAAGAAAGGAAAGGATAAAACAAAGCAAGAGATGATGTTATTGATGACAAAACAAAGATTAACAGACCTGAAACGTACAGATGGCCTCTCCAAAGGCTCTTGTGATGAATGTACCTTTCCAGAAAAGCCCCCACTCTTATTCTGAACCTGCCTGACGCAACACTTTCATCTTCTTGCTTCAAAACACACCCCATCAGATGTCTTTGAAGTCGGCACGCACATACCTCCATGACCCTGTAACTCCAGACAAGAAAGCAGACCCCCTTGTTATGTCGAAGAGATTGAAAATAGCTACTGTTTCTCTATAATCAAAAAAACGTACATGTCTCAGAGAAACTCTGTGGGTGTTAATGCACTCGGTGTCACAGGAAGTGGTGATGGTTCAGTGGTAAAGCAAACAGGGGTCAGATGATGTGGAGAAATGGAGCTCTTGTTACCTCAAATTGGTGTTTTTGGACTGCAAAGGCTGCGGAAAAGCTTTTGGTACAACATATTTGATGTGGTTTAAAGGCAATATGCAGTTTCGTTTCATATCAAAGAGATGCTTCAACATGGTTGAATTTATCTTGTCACATCCGTGATTTTGAACATGAATCTTGTGACATAATTAATCAACAACATATTATATTTTGTACCTGAAGACAACTTTTCTTTTTGAGAGCTTGAGTTGATTTTGATTAACCTTGAAATGGTTTTATTATTAAAATGGATTTCTAAATCTTTATTATTATGTTTCCCTTACAATATACATCTGTTCACTAAATTAGAGTGAATCAGCTCAGCTCAGAATCTGACATATTATTTTCAGTCTTTTGCAAATTAGCAGAGTCAGTGACTAGGAGCAAAGACAGATTTGATCATTCTATTCTTGCTTCTCCACAGGAAATCGTTGTCTGCGTTGTTTGAAAAAGACTCCACAGTTGTTATTTTTCTCTCTGGTTAAACAGTGTTGTTTCCTTGTGTAGGCCAACCTGCCGCTGCTTCAGAGGGAGCTGCTGCACTGTGCCAGGCTGGCCAAGCAGAACCCCGCTCAGTACCTGGCCCAGCACGAGCAGCTGCTCCTGGACACCAGCACCACCTCCCCAGTGGACTCCTCCGAACTCCTGCTGGACGTCAACGAGAACGGCAAGAGAAGGACGCCAGACAGGTGTGTGAATCAGAAAGTTAGAACATTATTTTGCCGGTTTGGGACTCTTTCTGTTCATACATTTACCAGTTCCAGACATTAAAGCAGCTGAGGGTTTCTTTCCTTTTTTAGCTCATGCATGAATCCCTTTGAGTCTGCCTGCATAAACCCATACAACACTCCAGACACAAGCTGAGCCAATGCAAGGCAATCGTGTGATGTGTTAGTGTATGTATGGGAAAGTGTCTGTCAGTGCGCCATCGGGCCTCATGACGTGCTCCGTTGGACATCTCAGCTCCAGGCTCCTGCTTTTAATGGGCCAGAACTGAGGAGAGGAGGCAATGGGAAATATAGACCCTCCCAAACACACACACATACACACACTGAGGAGAAAAAAAGGGAAGGGAGACAGATGTGTATTAATGAAAAGTGTGAATACGTCAATGAAAATGTATTCTGTGTAAGTTATCATTTACTTCAATACTCGATTGGGTGTGTGCGCCTGTGCGTGTGTCTCTTCTCTACATTAGTTCCCCACCCCACCGCAGCCAAATCATTACATCCGTTTGTTGTCACGGACTTTGGTAATGACTCAATGTTCTCTGCTCTAATGGACAAGCACTGAGACGTGCCGTCCAGGAACACACATCGCTGCGAAAACCTTTAGTCCTCTTTTCAACGGTCTTCCTCGGAGCTCCAGAAACGGAAACGAGCAGAAAACCCACCAGACCAACCGCGAGCATGTGTGCATGTTTAACACTGTGGCTCATTCCCATCCCAATAAAGTACATTACTTTTGGTGGAGCTGCAATATGACTACATTTCTTTGGAAGGGAGACTTACAAAACTTGAATTAGCTATAGAATCGTACAAATATTCTCTGTTAATAAGCATCTTCTTAAAACAGAAGTTTGCAATCATTTCTGTTTGTGCATTGTTATGAGTTTGAGCCTATGCTTCGAGCACAATATGTGCATAGTCTTTTGAAATAAAGAATAATCCTCCGGGGGTCTATATTTTTTAACACAGGCAGGGGAGAGGAAAATGTACTTTTTTTATTTGCTGAGGGACAAAAATGCCAAAAGCAATATTAATAATTCTCACCTCTCTTTTCCCCCAACAGTCGGATAGGCAGACTTTTTCTGTAATACCTGCATATTTGCAGGCCGTCTGGTGCATAAGGGAGTGAGCTTAGGGGAAAAGGTGTGCGTGTAAATGTGAAAGAGAGATATAATATATGGAGAGAGAGAAAAAAAAGGAGGCATCTGTATGCAGTGAAAAAATGTGGACTGTCTGTGAATGTGTGTGTGTGTATGATTCTCTATTCAGTGTGAAGGCATGACTATGGTTCATCTATGTGCACCTCTGTACAGATTGGGTGTGTGTGTTTGAGTCTGTGTGTGTGTGTGTGTGTGTGTGCGTGTGTGTGTGTGTGTGTGTGTGTGTGTGTGTGTGTGTGTGTGTGTGTGTGTGTGTGTGTGTGTGTGTGTGTGTGTGTGTGTGTGTGCCTAGGGAGATGGGCTGATAACACTTACAGATGAGGCTCCAGCTCCAATACGGCTGGCTAAGCACCTCTGCTTTCTGCTTACCTCTGCTCTGTGCTCCTACTTATTGGAGCCCTGTGTCGGAATATTGGAATTTGAATGGGAATCCTTAATTACATACAACAATGAACCATCAATGCATTCTGATTAATACCATGGTCTGCAGGAACCAGACCAAGAATATCGCACCGTATAATATGCATATGAGGGGCAAAAAACCCTGCATAACACAATTCTTTGAACAAAGCTGAATAAATAAAAGATGGGATTGTAAAATCACTGGTAACTGAACTGTTATGGTTAATCCAGTATAATTCAGCACATTTCCACAGCTCGAATTCCATTTACAACATACACTATACACTATTACGGTAATTTATCTTTTTAAAGCTAAATGCTTTTCAATTTGAAATGTGTGTAACAACAAAGGGGAGCAGAACAAAATAAGCTTTTTTTCACAAAAAAATTATAAATGTACTTTTAAAATAATTTCTTCACTCTTACAAGTGAAGAAATGGGTCTCTCATCAGAAGAGGTAGTAAAAAATGTTCATTCACTATTTGAGAATATCCAATATTTATCTGCATGCATGCATGAGAGAGCAGGAGTCCAGACAGTGGTTTTTGTTATTTAATATATATTAACTATTTTTATCTGTAAATAAATAAATATATTAAAATGTCACCGCATTGGCATATGCAAATTCGGCCCATGTCTGTATCGACAGTAGGTTAATGATGTGAGCACACATCAGTGCATTGTGTAGGTGACTGTGGCTGTGTGTGCATGATGGTACTCCGGTGCCTGTAGATATAAACATTGTTGCAGCAGGAAGGCTAGGGAGATAAGAGTGTGGTTTGGGGGGGGAGAGAAGAATGGATGGATGAGTCGAGGGAGGCAGCGAGAGACGGGCGGATGGAGGGAAAGAGCATATGGAGAGCTGTGGATGAGCATTAGGAGCCCATAAAAACAGCTCATTAAGAAGTTCAATCTGTTCATCGGAGAGAGGGATGGGGAGAAGGAGGAGAAAGACAGAGAGAAGTGTAGGATTGCAGACAGTGGGGGGAGGCTGGCAAGATTTAACTGTAAGCTGACAAAGCTGAGAACACACACACATAGACACACATGCTCACACACAAACACACCTGGCGACATTTATCTTCAGAGGAAGGCTTACAAAATGTCACCTGATCCCTTGGCAGCTACTTTAGAGGGCATGTATGTGTCTGTAATTTGTGTCAGTGCATACTTTAATGTGTGTGTGCGTATCGATGAATGGACATGGTTTCCATGAAAGAATTCCACAATGTTTCCTGGAAAGAAAACAGCCTTTCTGTAGATCTTTTGTCTGTTAGCAGGTAAACTCAAGCCTTTACAGCACACAGAAGCAAAGAGTTGATGTGATGATTTGTTTCAAGTCTCATTTGTGTATGTAAGAACTGTAACAACCTATTTCTGAAAAAGAAATATTTTTACTGAATAGGTTTGATATTAACATCACACTTATTTGTGCTTGTTTCCTCTCCTCTTTCCCCTTTTTAGCATTTAGTCTCATATCTAGTCCTATTTTATCTTTTGTCAGTAGGTCAGAATAATACTGTATGATCCTAATGTGGTGTCAGGATTCTTATTATTTAAAAAACCTTCTTTGTAAAAGAAATGAACATGGAGGGTAATACTCAAGTTTGGTTTATTTCTGTCTTTCTCCACCCAGAACCAAAGAGAACGGCTTCGAGCGAGATGGCGCCCTGCACCCTGATGTTCACCCTAGCAAGAGGCCATGCACCATAAGCCCCGCCCAGCGCTTCAGCCCATCCAATGGGCTCGCCTACCAGCCCAACGGCCTGCCCCACCCCGGCCCTATCCCTCCTCAGCACTACAGGCTGGACGACATGGCCATCGCCCATCACTACCGGGACAACTACAGACACCCCGCCTCCAACCAACGGGAGATCCGGGAGAGGCCCAGGCCCATCGGTGAGGACATGGGGGAGAATGGAGGGTGCATTTAAGTGTGTGTGTGTGTGTGTGTGTGTGTGTGTGTGTGTGTTTGTGCGTGTGTTTGTGCGTGTGTGTGTCCATACAGTTGGATATGGACACTCAAACCAATTCCACTAAATGGCACATTTCCAAAGCTTTCACTCTATAAAACAAAGAGATACACTAAGAGGATTGTATATATACAAAAGTAAACCGTTACAACAGTTACATCATTTTTACATCATATCTTATGCTTCTCAATTCTTTTTATACCTCTGAGATCCGTATCCATTTTTATAATACTGATAATCAGTCAGTTGGCACTTGAGTCTGGTGGATGCGTGTCGGCTTAGCAGACACACAACCGTCCTTCTGAAGTAATACACTGTTGGATAGGCCGGACAGAAATAAATTGAGGCACAGTGTGGTCATTTAGAGACATTGTCTGCACAGACCAAGGCTTGATGAAGCTGCAACGACGATGGTGGCTTCATTCTAAAAATAAGAGAGTTATTAAGCATGTCTCGCCTTGTAATGGATGATTCTTCGGGACTAGAAGCTCAGTCAAGGGGGGAGTAAGGGGGGAGGAGAAAGAAATGGATGGTCACAGAGTTTCAAGCTGGGATCAAATGATGAATGGATGAAAGGAAGCGATGGAGTGATGTTACATTGATCCTGTTGGTTTATCGTTCTATCTATCTTCTCTTACAGGTATGCACACAGGGACCAGGCCGGAGGAAGTGATTGACCACAGGCTGACAGACAGAGAGTGGGCTGAGGAGTGGAAACACCTTGACCATGTAAGAAAAGTAATAACATTTTTTTATTACTATATCTTAAGTAAAAGAGATTATCTAATAATTAGAGATTATCTATTTGTTATACATCACATAGTCTTGTAATTCTATTTTACACTCCTAAGAGAAATCGTGTGTTTGCTAACTGCTGTAAAGCTTTGACATCACATGCATAGACTACTAGTCAGGGTTTTATTTATGTGCAGCTTGCATGTAAACAAACAATGTAAATATTGCTTTGTTGCTTGCTTGTTCACCTTCAGGGTTAACATGAAACACAGCCGCATGTTCAGAACAGAACATCTAGTGCCACATTTGCGATGCTGTTTCACCTCACAGTTGTTGATATGCAGTGAAAATTGAATCACTCAATCACATAACGTATAAATAACTGAAGTGATAGTGTATGATGTCAAGTGGAGTATTATTATTATTATACACTATAATAATAACATTACAGATGTTGGCTTTCATTTTTAACCCTGCCTGCCACCAATATCCTTGTTTAATATGAATCAATCCTTCCATGTCTATATGTAAACTCAGCGCCTTGTCCGCTCCCTGTCACCCCAGCTGCTGAACTGCATCATGGACATGGTGGAGAAGACGAGGCGTTCGCTGACAGTTCTGCGGCGCTGCCAGGAGGCCGACCGCGAGGAGCTCAACTACTGGATCAGACGATACAGCGACACCGAGGAGCTGAAGAAGGGCGCCGCGGGGGGGCAGTCGAGGCAGCAGAGCCCGGCAGCCCAGGAAAATGCCACACCAGGTAAGAGATCACACATACTGTAGTGTAGTGCATGTATTAGATAACAGGACAGCTTAAAGCCATGTTCCAGTAAGTTATGTCAGTGTTTCCATCATTGTATGACAACATGCCCCCTCTGTTTTTTAGACTAACTTTCATTTTATCATTTTATACAAATACATAAAATATGTATTTTAAACCACATATTTTGAGGTGAAACTTTTTTTAAATATGCAGTTTTAAATCACTATAAAGGAAGCTCTTAAATGAATAACTAATGGCTTTAAAAAATAATTCCATTGTTCTTAGCCGGTTTGTGTCCTATGTAAAAGTGATGGTATTAATTGTATTGATTTTCTTTCAAGTTTTATATTCAGAAAGGCTACCTAATACTCAAATTGAGTTGGTAATTTGGCTCACACCACAATAGAAATATACTTGGTATACATAAGAGTTCGCCAGTTGTCTATTTTAGGTCTTCTACTCTTAAAGCCATGTTATCTAAGTTATCATGATACAGGCTGTTGAACATATAGCTGCCTACTGACAACCTGATCATTTTACATTTTATTAGTTTATTGCATCAGTGCCAAATTAATGTTTTTTTTTTAAATGTTATCTCTGATTGCCTTTGTGCTTTGTGCTTGCTTCTTCCCAGAAATTCACAGGGACATGGTGCACCGGCCTGTGTCTGGCTACGTTCCTGAGGAGATCTGGAAAAAAGCTGGTGAGCAGCCCTCCCATCATCATCATCACACACACACACACACACACATACATACAACACACACACACACACACACACACACACACACACACACACACACACACACACACACACACACACACACACACACACACACTCACACTCACACAAACACACACACACACAGACATGCACACACTTTTTCTCTTTATCTCCATGCCATTTTTAAGACATTTTGTCTTTTAGAAAATAGGTCAATCTTCTTCACCTACATGACTTAAGGCTTGAAGTGGATGAGAGGCGCTCCTTTAAACCCCATGCTCCCCTCTCATCCCGCTGTAGTCTGCTGTCTGCCTCCTCTTTCCCTGGAACGCTTGGAGAATACTTTATATTTGATACAGTAATAAGAGTTTCACCACCACACTCAACACTTTCCAAATATGATGTCAGGTTGTAAAACGTTTTATTGCTCCAGTCAAATAAGGGACAGAAGTAGCTTTAACAGCTGGTCCAGTGGTTCCCCTGTTAACAGTACAGTAGCAAGATTTGGTATCTTCTTGCTTTTGGCAGTCCCCTCAGAGACAGACATTGCAGCTATTCTATTCAGCGAAAGTGTTGTAAAATGTAGTGCCAGATAAGATCAAGTATTGAAACTCATTGTTGCTTTAACAGCTTTCATTAGTTGCCATTATATTTTAAGGGCACACAAGCATCATTTTTTAAACTCATGAGCACAGCTGCAATCACCATTATGGCCAAGCTGAAAAGCTGAAAGGCTTTTCCGCTGAGGGTTTGGCGCTCGTGGAATCTACTTTGTATTCCCCGTCAGTGATACAGTATATCTGCTTTTAAACCCCTTGGAGAAAGGGAAATTGTCCCCTTGCTTGACCAAGCATGATGTGTGAGATACTCAGAACAAGTAATATGCATTTAAATTGAATTGAGTATCACCATCGGGACCGTGCCTGCTCTCCAGTACTCTCCTCCTCTCTCCGGCTTTGATCGATCTTCCATCTAAGGCATTTGGTGTGTAATCACAATTCCATGCACAAGGCGTATATCACACGACACTGGGGCAATTTCCATGACATCAGGCAGCACAGTAGGTTAAAGACAAAACCCCCCTGGTTGGAAAATTCAGCTCAATCACGATGGAAAGAAAATGTCTTTGTCTTTAGAAAAAGCCCACATTCTGTCTGATATTGAAAACAGATTTTATATTTGTAATACATGTGTAATGTGTACAAAGGAAATGAAAGTAAAGAGAAGCATATTTGTCAGACATAAAGCGGTATTTATCTCTTGCCTGTAGGATAAACGGTGGCAGCTATTTCTCATTCTCTCCGCATTCTTCTCAGTATTCCTTTTCACTTCAGTTGCATATATTCTGGCTGGGAGACTGATTTAAATGTGACCCAGGGAGGATTGCAAAATAGGATTTTTAACACAATGGAGTGCCGTGGTGAATACATCTGTTTGAAATAGGCAAAATGTTTACAGTTGGTGATAAATATTCAAGCACCTTGCGCGGTGTCCTACCGGTTTCCCACTTCCCCTCACCACATGGGCCTCTGGGATCACAATGGAAATGCATAATTTAAATATAAATTGCCTGATTTGCATACACAATTAGTTAAGTTACAGGCTTGATGGGAGCAAACAAAAAAGCCCTCCTTTTGCTTTGACGTTCGATCGAAATTCCACCGCTTAACACCCGCACGGCAGGGTTATTACACAAAACATGTATAAAATAACACATTGCTTCATCTCAAAAGCACATTTTCTGACTGATTACCTGGAAGTAATTTCACTCATGCTGTTGACTTGAGGTTATTTTTGAAATAAGAAGAAAATATATTGCTCAACATTTCAATCAAATAAGATCCTTTCTCCTGTAAACGTTGACGTCAACCCAATGCCTTAATACTTAAACGAAAGGTTAAAATACCTGCTATCACATATACACCACATTTTTAAATTGATGTCTAAATACATGTTGTGTATCTCAAGGGCTGCCACATGCACTTGATCTTGGAATACAAATGCTACATATGTTTTCCCTGCCATGTAAACTACTCCTCATCATCTCCAGATGTACAAAGCATGTATTTTCTCAGATTTCTTCCTCATGTAAAAATAAGTGAAAGCATTGGTTTTATGGTTTTGGTTTCTGTCTTTCAGATGTGTTACAGATTTATCTCATCTGATTTTTCCACTCATCTTTGTAAAAGGCATAATCTTAGATACTACTTCTGTTGAATGAAACGTTTACAGCTAATTCATAAAAAATGTTTTATTGAATAATAGAAAATATTGAACTTTGGACAAAAGAAAAAACATCAGTGAATTATTTCATTTAGCAGTGTACTCATTGAAAATGAATTCCCAATATCAGGATGATACAATGCAAACTACATTACAGGTGCGGGAGGCTTGACTTCCTCTGTCTCCACACTCTTTCCAGAAGAGGCCGTGAATGAGGTGAAGCGACAGGCCGTGTCAGAGCTGCAGAAAGCCGTTACGGAGGCAGAGCGTAAGGCTCACGAGATGATCAGCAGCGAGCGGGCCAAGATGGAGCGCACGGTAGCCGAGGCAAAGCGGCAGGCGGCGGAGGACGCGGTCTCCATAATCAACCAACAGGAGGACTCCAGCGAGGTTAGGAAATACACACATCTTCAAAACATCCTAAGTTGTAGCCTCATTCTTTCAAACAAATCATGAAAACTGTCATCGCCTCTTGTTTGGTAGTATTGGTATTTCTATGTTGTCACTCTGACTATGCTTTATTTACAAGCTGTTGATGATAGGGGATCTTCTCTCATACATAAGTGTCTGTTTCTTATTTATCATTGGATTAGTAAACTTTTTTGTAAGTGTCCTGCAAATCTAACTTAATTTATAGTCAGCAGAGTGATCAAAGTGAAGCGAAACCAGGTTAATCAAGTATCAATTACCCTCGCTTCCCTGCTTCCTATTTCCCTCCGACCGAGTAGCTAGCATGTTTATAAAGGTGTTACCAATTCAGCCGAGAGGATACAAGAGAAGGAGCTTCCATTTTCTAATTACCATTAGAGGCCTAGACGTTTAATCAGTTAAGTGAGATGGAAATATGTCTCACATCTGCCATTAATTGCAGTAGTGATGTTTATGAGAGGGAAGTGCCCCAGAGGAAAACTTTTAGAAGCTGTTTGTATCCTTGTTCTCCTGTTTCCTGTGGCTCTGCAGCCGCCTTGACACACTCTTCCTGTGGTTTTAAAGATCTATGAGGCCCTAGATGTAATCAGAGATGGGTTTTTGATCTATCTGTGGTTTGTTTTAAGCTTAAGTGTTGTAAAAGGAGAGACCTATTCTGTTATTGTGGTGTCTGTTTTGTGTGATTAGACACATGAAATCAAACAAAAAGGACACCTTTCTCAGTTCAGCACTGTAAATACTTTTTGTTTTATGTTCCTGTTAGTTACCTTTGTCTCTCTATCCTTCCTTCAGAGCTGCTGGAACTGTGGCCGTAAAGCCAGTGAGACGTGCAGCGGCTGCAACACGGCGCGCTACTGCGGCTCCTTCTGCCAGCATAAGGACTGGGAGAAGCACCACCATGTCTGCGGTCAGACCCTCCAGGCCCAGCAGCAGCAGCAGGCCAGCCAGCAGCAGGGTGGAGTGCCGGGATCAGAGACCCCTGCCCCCATCAGCTCCTCCGCCTGCACCCCGAGCAGTGGGACTGGGAGTCCGGCTGCAACCCCCCCTGCTGCCACGCCTCGCTCCTCCACCCCCAGCACCCCATCCTCCTCTGCCCTGGAAAGCACACCGCGCTGAGACACTCAGGCGGAGGATGGAGGCAGAGGCTAACCATCCAGCCCTCAACCCCACAAACAGCATGACTGTAACATTGCCTTGGAAAGATACTAAGCTAACTTGGCTAACAGAAAGAGATGGCAATGCTTCTGTCTATCTTGCAGCGTATGTTCATAGAAGGAGGAGGAGGAGGTCCGTAATCAGGTCATATTGACTTGATTTTAAAGAAACACAAAGATATTCTTTGTTTTGAATGAATGAATTTAAATATTGACATCCTTTTATCGTTACACTTGCTATTCTTGTTGTCCGTTTGTTGTTGTGCCTGTTGTTGTTAATGTTGTTGTCATTGTAGCTTATCTTATTTTTTCTTGTAAATATTAAGAGACTGAGCAGAGATAGCCGTGAACTTGAGAGAAGTATACCTGACCTCCCCTTTTTTATGTTTTCATTTTTCCTCCTTGAATTATTTCCTCCCTGTTCCTGTGAAATGATAATACTCAACCTCATTTCACTAAGCAGAATACCAAGAGAACAAAACTAGCTAGCAGAACGAGTCATCCATTTTGTTTGTAAAGAAACATATTAGATTTAAATACCCTGAAAGACAACCAATGGATGGATGGATAAACAAGTTAGCTGCTTGGAGAGAGGAGAGGGGTGGACTGGATCTCTGGCCCACAGACAGCCATGAAATGGGCAGATGTGCAGCAGATTGCAAGCAGAGCCAGCTGTTCAACCAATGTTATTTCCCTCTCACTTGTAATAATATCCAGGTCAGTGGGCTAGGAAATACAAATCCGTCTCCCTGAAGGATGTTAAAGGAAGAATTATTGGACAAGATACAAAACTTTGCCCACTGCACATGTGGAGGATGTACTGACTACAATGTGCACGTGCATGCTTGGTGGGTCACAGAAGCTCTCGAACAGGAAGTGAAGTTAGTGCTGGAAACCTACAACATGGAGGACCCGGTAGGAAGCTCATTCTGCGCCCCAGACACCCCCTCTTGTCTCAACTCTGAAAAACATTTTCATCTTTCTTCATGTTCCTTTTCTTTTTCTGTAGATGTCATGGTGTTTAAGACTTCTGTCCTGTGGTGTCACCAATGGTTATTTATTGTATATGTGTTGGACAATTGTGACGATGCATAGTACTTCAACCAGTCACAACTCTAAGTCCCTCATAACTCACTCTCTCTCTAGCAAAAAGAGATAAAAAAATAACAAGTGTTACCTTTATTTCCAAGCTGCTTTTCTATTCTGTGTGTAAGTGGTAGATCCCTCGTAGTTCTCTAAGTTTTACTTCCCTTTGTCCTCAAGAAAAGACACAAGCTATATCTCAGAGCTGCTACTCGAGTCCGACCCAGATCTTTTCTGAGAACTAGCATGTTGCGCGGAATGCTAACCTAAATGTTTTGTACAAGGGACATACATAAATGTATTTGCACTGTCACAGAGGTTATTTCGGCATGCTTTTTTTCAGCATACTTGTGTTGTCGGTATAGAGCCATAACTCATCAACCATTTTTTTATGTAGTGATAGCATTATTTTCACATTTTTTGGGATTGTGGGAGTCGGAAATATGTAAAATCACCCAACTTATTGTTTTTTCTTATCAACATGATAACAAAAGCGGCCATAACATAACGTTTTTTCTTTTAATAGTTACAGACAGTGCATGCACATTACTGAACGTTTGTTAAATATTTGTTATTTTTTTGAAAAACTGAAAAACCAACCAAAAAAAGTACAAAAAAATACAAAAAAATATTCTAACAAACTAACTTTCCAAATGCAGAAGTGTAGACTCCAACAGCTTTAACACTGCAAGGCACCAGGTAACACACAGTATTAACACGAGATAAACAAAACAAAAACACCAAAAACAGCCAAAGACTGACACCAAGGACCAAAATCCTGAGTTAAAACGATTTTCAAAAGAGGTTTGTTCACACATATATTTGGTTATTTATTTCTGCAGGTTTTGTTCACACATTCGAAAACCACAACAGTGACATAAAATGTATTTATTTTAATACTTTCTGAAAACCAATGGCACTAATCTTACTATGTGAAATGAGAAGGTGGGATTAAACATAATGAACTTTTTCAGCAGTGTTACAGTTTAACCGGAGCAATAATGAACACTGATGACTCCTGTGACAATTTTTGGAGAAATAAACATTTTAGATATTTTTTTAACTTGTTTATACATGTTCTCATTACACAAAGGTCAGATTAAGTGCCCACTTCAGCTTTAAACAGATTATTTCTTTTTTCTGAAGTAGGTGAGCATGAGACAGGGCTTTCACAACAATGCCATTTGCAGTTCTTTTCTATTTATTTATATCAAAGTACATCATTTTTTTGCTGTTACGATAGATAATAAGTCACAGCTTTGTTGTAAACCTTCAATGTAAATCAAACAAACCTCTCATTCGCAGTAATAGAGCACTTATCCCGACGCACACAAAGGCTCTTCACCCCAAACACCTTGGTGCTACACAGAAGCGCGTTACAAATTCTGACCTCAAGGAACAAGTGGAGGCCCACAAAGGTTCAGGGCTGTTTGCTCCCTCTGTACTTCCTCATCTCTCCCTTCTTGTCTAAATAAAGTACACACCTGCATTCTCGACTCTAAAGGGTTAAACAATCCAAAAAGGTGTCTGACACCCTACTAGCAACTCCTCAGAAGCTGTGAAAAAACAGCAAAGCTGTTTTAACACTAGTGTATTTGAAAGTATAGAACAAGTAATGTGTGTGTTCATCAATATCAGGGCAAAACCTGGATAAAAAAAAAGAAATGAAGACAAACATTATCGTTCAATGGTTCTTTGAGAAGCTCTATTTTTTTCTTTCTTCCCTCCTCTATGTGTGTTTTGCTACAAATTCCTCGGTGGCAAACAAGTCTCACTCTACCTCTTACAGCACGATAAGAGCATCAGTCGCGGCGCTGATACTGGTCTAGTCTAAACCAAATGGGCACAAGAGAACAGGAAAATAAAAAACCCAAAGTCGAAGCTCATACAGCTGCAAAACCATATCACTACTTGGTAACAATGCAGACCTCATAAATAAATGAAACATAAATGAATAGAAATGAGAAAAAAAACCTGAAAACACTTTTGTTATGTTCCTTTATGCCTGTGGCGTTTTTAGAGTACATCAAGAGTTTGAATTGTTTGAACAGATTTTAAAAAATGTGCTACTTTTAAATAAAAGTGTTGTTGATTCCTATTTCGATGATACTGTACAAGCTAGGGTGACAGATAAGAAATGTTTCTCTCTTGCTCTTTTATCTCTCCTGTTTCCCCTCCACTTTTTTCTCCTTTTCTCTTCTCTGTTGTGAAGACAAGCTAAAGCGCTTGTCAACTTGTCAGCGAGGGTCAATTCAAAAGAGGGGGTATACAAAAGGCAAAACCTTGTAAAAAAAAAAAAGTCAAAAAAGGAACATCATGGCTACAGTTTGGCATGCCTGTTTTTCACAATAGGGGGACATATTATTTAAATGTCCTACTTATCAAGAACTTTGGGGAAATGTGTGGGGCCAACAGTGAAAAGTGAAGGCCGTAGCATTAAACTTTTGGGAGTGAGTTGAACTTCCGGGGTGGGAGGGTTTGTTTTTTGGGCTCTCTTGAGAAAAATATTGTGAAAAAAAAGAGCTCAAATGATTTGAAGTTGTTGTGCAATACTTAATTGAGACATGAAAACCACAGGTTAGTGGTAGGCTGACCCTGGGCGGTCTCTTCATCGCCTAGAGTCAGTGTCCTAGAGAGCTTTCCAGTCTACTATGTCAGAACTGTGGTTTCTTGTTGATTTATTTTCTTTTTGTTTCTTTTTTTATTTCTTTTTTGGGCTGTAAACTATGGTCTGTCAGTCTGTGAAACTTTGCAGTATAATTCTGGTATTGTTGTTCTCTTAACGGTGTAATAAATATGTTAATACCTGCCTTGGTGACTGAGACTTGTATTTTGTTCTTGACAGCAGGAGTCTGAAAGATTAGCAACACAATTCAGATAAACACAGCATGTCCCAAATGAATGGGAAGCTCCACAGATTTTACAGTTCCTTTAACATGTCACAAGTTGCATTGTAAGAAATAATGATTGAATAATGAATGCCTCTCTACTCACCACTCAATTTCCAACCATGTCAGGCCTTAAGGTCACCAGAAGAAACGCAAGGCGCTCTCTAGAGTTTGGTTTGTCCGTTTTGGGCTACTGTAGAAACATGGTGGTGCAAAATTGCAGACTCAATTGTAAGGGGCATCCAATGAGAAAAACACAACGCTTTATGGTTACAGGTGATCATGGTCCTATAATAATTAAAGTTGTGAAGATTGTATCACTTTTCTGGTAGTAAATCACCCTATCCTGAAAGGTCCTAATGCTAGATTCAGGCCTACTTTCCTATTTCAAATGAGTCATTACTCAACATATTAAAAAAGGCAAGGGTGAAAGTAATTAATTATGTTAGGGGCTTGAGTTTGTTTACATTCTGTTTCATGTCTAATAAAAGTCTAGCTTGTTCTTTTTCGACACACCGCCTCCGACTCCCGTCTCTCGGCACTACATTGGTGACCCCGACATAAGTCTTGTGGAAGTATCCGAGACTGAACCGAACATGGCAAATAACGCAGTTTTTCTCAAACTGCCGGAGTTTTGGGAGACGTCTGCGGCTGCATGGTTCTCACAGACAGTGCTGATTCTAGAGTCTGTGGGGGCCCTTGGCAAACATTCACTGGGGGCCCCTCGAACCAGCTTTTCATCACCACGCACAGCCAACAGCAGTAACCTGCAAGCCTACATTCGCTTCAAATAAGCCAAATCTGTTTAAGTGCTTGTGCATTATTTTTAAATAAGACAACCCATTTTAAGATAGAACATAGACAGATGACACTCACCTGACACTCCGGAAATGATTTGGTCAGGGTGTGCTAGAGGTGAGGAACCATGGTCCCACGTGGTCCGGGGCTAGCATTGTACAGTAGCCTACAGACGATTCAGAACAATAAAGTCTTATCTAGGTTCACGTCCTTATGTGCTATGGTTACATTTACTGTGCATCGACATAGTACAAAAGGGATGCCTCAACTTTCCATTAAGAAGTAATTTAAAGCACCACCCGGCAGCACGCCAGGGGACACAAATCAAACACACCTATTACATTGTGCAGCATCAACAAGTGCAGCTTGTGTGGCTAATTGCTAAACGCAACAGTGGATCCTTCAGCGACTCCTTCATTCACTGAGGAACTTTTACCTTCAGTGAGGTGTGTATGAGGACTTTCTGCAGTTTGTGACCTGATGTGGCAGCAGAGCTTCGTTCAGCTCAAACGTGATGAGGCCAAGTGGACTGGTTTTATTATGATTAGTTAAAGCTACTGCTGATTGAAAAGGACTAAGCAGTGCTTTAGCGTTACTGAATGTCGTGCAGAGGGGGACAACAACCATGAATATAAAACACGTTGTATGTATAACAAACTCTTTCAACTCACTCTCCAGGTGAGAACGTAAACAACCACTGCGTTGCACTAGCGTCATGTGCACACACGTACTGTAGCATGTGTGAAAACTAGAGTCTTGCAGGTCTGTTGCTGAGCATTTGTAGAGTTGATATTGTTTGTACATATATGTTGGTTGGTAGTTTGCTTCACACGTTTTCCATGGTTTTAATACCATTTTTTAATGTATTGTAGGGTATTTGTGTCTGAGTTGTGTTTATTTCAGGGTTGTTACGGTCATTAAAAACCTGGCAAAGTCATGGAAATTCAAAATGCTAATTCCAGGCCCTGGAAAAGTTCTGGAAAACGATATTTTTCCCAAAGTTTTGGAAAAGTCATGGATATTTAACTAAAGTTGCATCAAATATAATTTATATTTTATCTAATCGCCGAAATAGTAATACTATAATGATAATACATACTGTATCGTATAGTAATGAAACGTGACATTTAATTTAACTGACGAGGAGTATTGCTGGTGAGAGATTTAAGTTGCTTTAGCGTGTAGAAGCTAGTAACCCTATTGGATTTGTTTTAGATAGGCACAACATGTTTCATATGCAGACCTTATTTTCCTGTTCCATGTCAAAATAAACCATTTTCAGTGGTACCGCTGAGAAAGAGTAATTGTTTTGGTCATGGAAAATTAGGTAAAGGTCATGGAGAAGTCATTGAAAATCATTGGTGAAAAAGTGTATGAACCCTGTTATTTAAGTTGTATGCAAAGATTGCAATGTGATGAAAATGTGATTTATTGTTGGTTGGGACATCAGGGGTCATGTTGCTGATTTCTTTGTTCCACTAGTTGGCTATGTACGTTGACATGTGTATTTTACAGGCTTAAGGGGTTCAATATAAATAGTGGGAATAAAACGATCATATTTATTATAGGCCTTTATATTTATTTGATGAGAATAGACTCTTATACTTCTAACATGCTATATGATTATAAAGCTGAACAATTATTTGCCTTTCAGGTGTCTAAGTTATAAATGCATATGAACAATGTGTGACAAAACGGTCCCAGAACTCAGAAAGTTAGGTTCATGAAATAACTTCATGCATTTTAAAATATCAATTTTGTTTCAGTTTGAATATAATCTGTTGTGCTGAAGAGTGGTCGTCCAGGCTGTTGGAACTGGAAATATGTTCATAGTCATCATGAGGCTGTATAGCTAAAATCCAAAGAATGTCTGCTAAGTACATACACAGCTTCATAATTTTTCCACATTGCTTAGCTATTTTTCTTTCCATTCCTGACCTTGAACCTCACTGTCTTTTATTAAGGGTCTTCTTAACATTTTCCAGTGGTTTGTTAATCCCTTTAAACTAGAGACAAAGTTTGGAACCTGCACCTTATGATTTGAAACCACACAAAGCTAATGTAGCATTTACATATTTGCTACATGAAGGCAGGAAATACTGTATAAATTGTGGTAATTTTTTATAAGAAATAAAAGATTAGAAATACTTTTGATTCTGAAAGCCTCATGACCTTAGCTTTAACAGTAATCAATGACATTATAACAAATCAGTTGTTGACTTGAAATGTACTTCTTCTCTGTCTCTATGACAGGGGTGTCCAAACTCTTTTCACCGCGGGCCACATACAGAAACATATACGAAGGGCTGGGCCACTCACTAGAGGTGAGGTACTGTATATTGCCTCATACGTTCAGTTATAAGTTGGAAAAATCAATCAAATCTAGGTAAATTATTCTTTACACTTGAAAATGCTTTAAGAAAAAAACAGCCTACATCACAGCTCTCCATACAGTTTCATTTATTTTGTTACAAAAAGTGTTGGCAGGTCATTCCTTAAAACAGAAGCTTCAGATTGCTTATAATAAGAGGAAATATGAAGGATATATTTCAAGGTTGTTATGTACATTTGTTATTGGGCTTTTTTCTTTTCAACTTAGATTTGTTAGAAAATGTTTTCAACTTGAATTGACTGAATTTATTTGAAAATTGGGCTTGTTAACATATGAAGGTAGATATGGTGCAAAATGCGAGAGCGTGTAAAACCTGATGTGAGCACTTGCAGAAAAAAAATCTGAGCTTGTGTGCATACATTTACACTTGTATAAAATATCCACGTATCTGTGAACCAAATTTGAAGTCACAGAAGAAAAAAAAAAGTTTTGTAGCTTGTATAAAAAAAATGAACTTAGTGATGAAATGTTCACTTGCAGAAAAAAATATATTTTTTAAATATAGTTTCCATTACAACTGCAACTTGGTTATTGCAACCTCTCAAATCAGTCATTACAACTTCACGAATTTGCTCTGTGGCAGTATAAATCGACGAATCTGCGGCCTTGACTTTTGCTACACTTCTTGCGATGAATGTGTCGCTAAAGTAATTTTCACCTGTTAGAATATCTATCTATCTAGCTATCAGAATGACGAGGCGCAAGCTCGGGTCAGTCACACACAAGTGACTACTGTTAAGATTAAATTAAATACTACTTCTCCAACCTTGTACTTTTCTCCAGAGTGCCGTGGTTCATTGTTTATTAATGTGTTACAGCGGCATTTACCGACCGCTGCAGTGCTGCTCGTCCACTGGAGTTTAGTCATCCGGTTCGACCTGACATGGCTGTGTGACTGACCCGAGTTTGCGCCTCCTCGTTCTGATAGCTCCGCCCCTTCGCTCCAACCCCTCTTCCTCCCCATGTTCCTCCCCCCACATCTACAGGTGAAAATTACTTTAGCGACACATTCATCGCAAGAACTGTAGCAAAAGTCAAGGCCGCAGATTCGTCGATTGATACTGCCACAGAGCAGATTCGTGAAGTTGTAATGACTGATTTGAGAGGTTGTAACAGGTTTTACACACTCTCACATTTTGCACCATATCTACCTTCATATTAACACATGAATACTGTTTAATATATTTGAACATTTATATTTAAGAAGTACAATACAAAACAAGCTTTCATTTGCAGGCCATATTTCATTATACAATTCAAAATGGGCCGCATTTGGCCCCCGGGCCGTAGTTTGGACACCCCTGCTCTATGACTTCTTAATATTCTGTGACCGGCAGCCTGTATCTCTTATCCTCTCACAGTGCTCAAAGTACATTTGACAGTTTGAAATGAAATCCACAAATGCATTACAGCATATTGTATTGCTATTCCCCTAACACACAGTATAAGGGGAAAAATAAAACTTGAAAGACTTATCATTCAACCAGTGCATCAACCTTACCCTCTGCCTTAAGCATAGTGAGGAGGCTAAAGGAACCGTTAAAATTAACCAAGTCATAAACATTATAACAAAGCTGTTGAGATAGGAGCCTTTGATGGAGCTATTTATGTGCTTCTCTGTCACCAGTACAATTAACCTCCTAACTAACCTCAGGTTTTTGCCTGACAAGATAGCGTAGGGCCTTCAAAGGGCTGGGATCCGCTGCTCTCCTCCAAAATAAATGACAGTGAA